TGTCCCACAACAGAGGGCTCTTCTGATTTGAGACACAAAAGTCTCTTAACCATTTTTTTAAAGCAATATGTCTGGGTTTAGAGGGGGAGTGAGCCAATTCAACCTCTAAAGCCAGCTTGGTATATTTGGGAATTTGGGCGTAGCATCTCTTACTACTTCCTGCTGGAAGGGGGCGCTGTATCTCATGGGGACACAAAGAAAATTTTAGGCCTATGGGGTAGTCTGTGAGACTGTATTGTGCGAACCAGTTGCCTTGAAACCGCTCTGGATGTTGGATCATCTGGGCCATGGTGTCAGAGACCTTTCAGGGGGTCTTGGCTGGTGAAACCTGATGTATCTTAATCTGGAACAAATCCACAGCCTCTGGCTCTGTGGAAACAAAAGCAGAACCTCTTTTCCAAAGGAACATATCCTTAAATATAAATTTTGAAGTCAAGGTACCTTTAAAATATACATTTTGGCATAACTCAACAACTTTTGCAATCAAATGTTTTTCTTCAGTTACGAATATCAAAGAGAACATAATCCAAATTCTATGTGTGGTAGCCATCTTTACATGGCTTATTTTTTATATTACCTTGAGCCTATTGCTTTAAACTGTACCATTGTAAGACTGAAACGGCGCTGTGGCTGCTGGCTCCACCCATTTCAGCTTCCCAACATGGCAGTGGTACGTTTTCCACCAGTTCTGTGAGTCATCAAGTCTCAGAAATAGTGGGTGTAAGTTTTTATCAAAGCAGCATGTAGCCCAGAAACCTTTTTAAAAAAAATAATAGTAAAGACTAAATCTACCACACAGGTTAATGTGTCACTGTCAGATGCCTCATTTCCGCCATACTGCTGGTCAAACGCAAACGCCAGGAACCTGCCAGTGTTCAAACCTGCGTTTTGTGGCGTCTAGCTGTCTGTATGAGACAAGAAGCAGGAACCTGGTTTTGGCTCTGTTTAGAATTGGTTATTAAATATTCTCAGGTTTAAGGTGGAAACTCGAGCCGTTGGGTGCCATTTGTTGCTAGAGTTTTCCTGCCTTGCCCACAGTCAGGACAAATC